AAGGAAAAAAAACGAAAAAAGTCGCGACTTTTTTTTTTTTACACGACGACTTGTATAAGTGCATTTTATATGCTGTGAACGACGAGTGTCCTTCGCTTATTAAGGGGTTGTTCTTTTGTATTTTTAAGTTATGGTGATTTAAATGATGATTTTAAATTAAGTTTGAGTTATAATTTAAGTTAAAATTATAACTTGAGTTTGTGTTTGGATGTGCACATTTGAGTTATGATTTGAATTGAGAATCTTTTTGAGTTTGTGTTTGAGTGAATCAAAACTTAAATTGTATTTAGATAGTATTTTAATAAAAACTCAATAATGATGAAAAATTTTAATAGGATATATGGGTGAAGTTTTATTCGTCTTTTCGTTGTGAATGCATAGAAAAAAATCATCTCAATCAAAATTAAAATGAAAAAGTTATGGCATTTTTAAGAATAAAAAAAATAATGTTCATTAACTTGAATTCGAGTTTATAAACTCTAGTTGAAGGGAAAACTTAAACTCGAGTTTCGTTTTAAATTTAAATTCAAACTCAAATTTTACAAAAAAAAAAAAAACATAAACTTCTCGTTCACTTCGCAGATTCAAGTTTTCAATTCGAGTTGAGATGTGATATTTATAATTTATAATCTTTTTAATCAAATAATTATACTAATAAAATAATATTAATAAAGAGTAAAAGATAAAAATCATACTCATATATTTTGAAGGGTAAATTTTTCATTTTTCATAATTTTTTTTATTTTTCTATAATAAATTTCAACTAAAATGAAAAGCACAGTATATATATAGGGTCTGGTTTTAATACTTAATTTAATATATACATATTAATGAATATTATTATTTTAACTAAAATATATTAATTTAACGGTTATAATAAATTAAATAGTTAATTAAAAAATTAATGATAATTAATAAAATTAAAATTTTATCAGGTTATATTGTTAAATTTATATATTCAAACTATTTATGGTCATGTTTATTTCACCGATTCGAATTTAGAATTCGAGTTTTGTTATAGTAAAAAGCTCTAAAAAATAGTTACATTTAACTTTTTTACTACAGTAAAAAATTCTCATATAAAATCACATCTTAACTCAAATTAAAAACTCAAATCAGCAAACTAAAACCTATTATATTAAAAATTCAATAGACGTGTTTGGAATTCGTTATAAAATGATTTTATTTTTTATACGCAAATGAAAATGAAAACATTTTCAATCTCAGACAGAAATTATTTTTAAAAATGTGTTTGGTAGTTTTATCAAGAGATTATTTTCAGTGTAAAAAAACGTATTAATGTCTCTCTTTCTCTCTCTACTTGAGAAAGAAAAAAATAAAAATAAAAAATAATTAAAATAATTAAAATTTATTTTTTATTTCTATTTTATTTTACACTAAATTAAAAAATTATTTTTATTTTTATTTTTTATCTTTATTACACCAAATATCATTTTAAAAACCTTTTTATTTATTTTTTTTAAAACGTAAAAAATAAAACAAAATCACTTCTAAACACAACTAGTGCTGGAACTTCGGGTCGGCGGGCCGCCCGAAGCCCGAATTTTTTCGGGCTCGGGCGGGCCGGCCCAATTCCCGCCCGTCCAAGCAAGAAATTCGGGTTCGGGCTCGGGCAGCCCGGATTTGACATGTCCACCCTTGCCCGCCGCCGTCTAACCACCGTATACCGCCGTCCGCCGGGATTTTTTTGCATTTTTCCGACATTTTTCCGACCAAGCCCGAACTGCCCGACCCGAAAATTGGGTGTGCCCGAATTGCCCGACCCGAAGCCCGAATTTTTGAATTTTGCCCGAATTTTTCCCGCCTGCCCGACTTGCCCGACCCGCCCGAGGTGCCCGAATTACCCGAATACCCGAAAACGGCTAGGTTTTTGAATTTTTACCCGAATTCGGCCCGAAAACCCGAGTTGCCCGAGTTGCCCGAACTGCCCGAATCGAATTTCAAAAACCTAGCCGTTTTATCCCGTTTTTTTTGAAAAAAAATCATTTTTTAACCCCAAAATTTCCCTATAAATACCCCCCATCCCTCACACATTTTTCTCACTCAAACTCTCTCAATCCCTCTCAATCTCTCTCAATTTCTCTCAATCTCTCTCAATCTCTTTCAAGTTCTCTCAATCTCTCTCACAATTTTTCTAAAGCTCTCTCTCTAGTGTCTATCAAATTCATCTTATTTTTTTATAATGGATCCTTTTGGTTATAGTGGTATTCCCGTTGATGCCCAACACAATGTAGAAGAAGGGCAATTTCCCACTAATGAGTTTGTTACGCAGCAAATGCAATCTACTAATCCAAGC